ACCCTCAAGGGCCAGTCTTCAAATTTGAGGTTATATACTTGTGTTTAAGTTGGAGCCTAACTATGAAGGTCCAGCAGGCCTGGAACTCTATGTTGACCAGGCTGGCCTCGAAGCCACAGAGATCCATTTGCCTGCCTTTGCGCCGTCAGGTTCTGTAGTTTTTCTTGGAAGGCTGTGCTCTGTTGTAGCCACTGTCTCTGAGGCAAAGAAGCTAAGGAAGCAGGTAGATACAAGTGAGGACACTAGCTCAGCCTGCCTTTGGCTGGAGGAGAGAGGCCTGGAGCGTCTGGTGGCTTGGGCTTCAGGTTTGGATGAGGCTGCTGTGGGCCACAGTTGGAACACTGGAGAGGCATCTTTTCCTTACTCTCTGTGCCTTCAGAAAGAAGCCCTCACGTCCCTTTCAGAAAGGCACGCCTGCTCTTGCATTATTCACCTGGCTGGGAAGGGATGGAGTTGAGTTTCCTCACTTCTTAGGGTTACTAGATCGTCCTGGCACCTGACCCTTGGGCCTGATGGTGGGACTATGGGTGCCAGCTGGTTGCAGAGGTTTTTCCTGAGGGGTTGCTGAGTTTCTTCAGGAAAACATCATTGGGTCTCTTGATTCCCCAGCCTCTAGCCCTGCCCCTCTCAGGGACGACCCTGGGGTCAGGCCCCTCAGCCCTCGAGGGGGACCAGGAGCCAGCCTCCTCTGTCTTCTCTGGCTCCTCAGCTCCTCTTGAGCATCTTCAGGTATTTTTCTCCCCAGGGGCATTTCCAGGCCCTGTCCCTTTGGTCCCTTCAGAGTCCTTGGGGACTCAGGGAGGGACCCAGGAAGCCTGTTGTCTCCCCCATTAAATCCCTTCCCTGGGGGGGGTGGCCTCCCTGGGTCTTGGCATGGCCACCAGCACGCAGGGTGGGCTGGGCGTGTACTTTTTCTCCATTCATCCCATCTCTTCTTACACTCGTCCAGAACGGGACAAGGAGAATCGGCACCGGAAGCGTAGCCACAGCCGCTCTCGAAGCCGGGATCAGGAGCCGAAGCCGAGATCGGCGGAACCGTGACCAGCGCAGTGCCTCTCGGGACAGGCGAAGGCGAAGGTACTAAAGCTCTGGGACCTCTGGCTGGGCACCTGTCTGGGTCTGTGTGGCTGTCCTCTGTATGGGTGCTGTTTGGTCTGCTTTGAACTCCCGCTTTCCCTGTTTCTGGGGTTTCTTTGAGTTTCTACTTTGGCGGTACCAGTGGGTTGCTGGGGTAATAGTTCCTGGGGCTGGAATGAGTTTTGTGTGTTTTTGTTTTTTGTTTTTCTTTCTAAGGGTAAGGCTGTCTTTGAGGACCCAATTGTTTTTCTTGCTTTCTGGCTCTGTTTGGGACTGTCTTGGAGAGCACTGGTCCTGTTTTTTTTCTGCTTCCTAGGAGTTCTAGAGTAGGGCCGTCTCTGAAGCCCAGGCTTTAACTTCAAGCTCAGGGCTCTTGGTGTAGTTATTCAGAGTCCTCCCCCAGTCCTGGGTTCCCTTCCTCTCTGTTCCTCCTAGGTAGCGGAGTGGGGTATCTGAAGAGTCTCCTTCTTACCTCAGTTTCTCCCTAGAATGGCC